GTTCGCAGGTAGTCTCATATCAGCAAGGGCGAGAATGAGCAGGTGCGATACTAATTGGCTCAGCAATATGTTCCAGGCTTTCAAGCGGGACTTGCTCTCGAGCGTGGAAGGAAAGCAGAATGTTACCGCGAACCATTAATTGAAGACCTCAGTTCTTCCGCGATGCCATAAAGTTGAGATAAAGGTAGAAAGTCGAGTATGCGATCCGTCGAGAAGACTTTGGAACCAGATGAAGAGCTCCTGGGATCTATACATTCATGACTAGGCAATTGTTGGTTTGGCTATATAAACCTCCATCTCTAATCCCAAGATGTGTCTGCTGCTAAGAAATCATAGCCATGATTTCGGAAGACATTATCAAATCTGTTTTAGTGACTATTCTTCTACTTCTGAACGTTGGAAGACTGTCTATTTTCTACTGTATTCCATTCAAGTGGCGGTGGCACAAGTTCGACTTGGCTTTGTGTGCCCTCTCATGTGTTCCCTTTGCTATTCTTACGGGGCTGTTCTGGAGTAAAAGATTTCCAAGATGGAGCCAAGTGCTCTTTTGGGTTACTCCGTTATTCCCACCGCTACAAGCAGTAGGTCTTCATTGCATGGAATGAGCGAGGCCTACTGTCGGCTAACGGTACCACAGTACCTTCATGTAATTTTTCATCAGCGTGAAAATATATTCACCCCTCGATTTCTACGCATGGTGTACCCTGCTTTCGCCGTGTTTTCCGCGCTGGCTAAGGTAGCGTTGTCTCTCGCTGGAACCTTCCTCCTGAGCTCCGTCCATCCGGGTGGCCTCTTTGTTCTCTTTGTGGACTATGTGGTTGTAGCTGCATGGTTCTGGTTGATGGTTCGACATTCAACCTTAGCCCGACCTAAGCTGCAATACATCTCATGCTATCTCTCTGTAATGGCACTTCTTTTACTTGTGGTTGCCATCATAGGTACGCTAGGCAAAATATGGATGATTGCACTCGAGGTAATTACAATTTCCCACATTATGTCCACAATACTGACACTCAAGAGATCGAGCTTTTCATCATCGCTATCTCGACTTCTTCCTTGCAGTCAGCCGCGTGGGCCGCATAAATGTACCCTTGGGTACCTCCAAACTCCCTACGATACGTGGATACCATGTGAAAAGGCACTCTGGACTCTGTACTGTCTATAACGGTAGAAAATGTTTACAACGGAGATGTGGCAGATTGTCTGAAAGCTCACTCTGGTCATTAGTTAGAGAAAATTATAATTTAGCTGTTCGTTAGCTCGGAGGCTACTTTAGAGTGCCAACTGGTCGAAGTCTACTGATTACATGTAGCATAAAATGCTCTTAATCAAGTTGGAGATACATGCGCAGAGTTCTAGTTTCTTGGATTGGGGGAAGGTTTTGGTTTAGGCCGTTTTTAATCCACCTTCCAATATTTTAAAGGTTGTTAGACATAGTACATATATCCTGCAAGCAAGCCGCTATCAAATCGCAATCAACTTCTGTTACTAGATTCCGGGTTTTCCAGTTCCCAATCCCCAACCGTTCTCATGTCCTACAAGAGATGCTGAGATGTGCTTTTTTATAAAGCATTGACCACGAAAGCAAAGCAACAATCCTGTTACCTACTGGCCGTTTTGCGTATACAGGATGGATCGAAATTAGTTTCACCACTTACACAGAGATTCTTTCTCGAATCCTCTTTCGAAACACGCTATACCTATTACAGTTACTCTTCCCCCAAACCCCTTTCTTGGCAGTAATCTAGTACGGGGGTTAATAACAGTATAAAAATAGGTTCTGTATCAGGCCTGTATGATTCTAAGAACGTTGACTCTGCAAAGAGGCCAAATCGAACGATAGCATGTATTGGTGGTCCTTTGCCGAGCACTGTAGGATAAGCCGCCAACCGCTGTAGCGAGGCTTAAGGTTAAGCAGGTTCGCAAATAACCTCCGATATAGCTTGCCTAAAGATCGCACCATCTGTTTCTTTTCCTAGACGCGGAATCAAGATATAGGGGTTTGTTTTGCGAGAGAATGCTGGGTTCATCCATCCACCTTGCTCTTTAAAGCTCTCATCAAACCCATCGACAGGGACCGAACCCAAACGACCCCACTTCCGAGTAATCCCGTCTGGAGGCTGAAAGTCTATTGAATCGAATTCAATCTCATAATAGCGGTTCTCCCCTGCCACCTTCCCTGCCACCATGTATATCTTTGCGCCTTCTTCTCGGGCGACATAAATTCTTTCACACAACCTCTGGTCCTGCGATATTTTCTTCAGACAGGTCTCGGCGACAACCCCCCACCCTCTCGGGGTGGGGGGTTGTCCCGTGACACGGCTAATGTAATACGGAGTCATTTACATCTCCAATTGGCCGGATACAGTACAGATCGTGACAGATTCGGATAAGAATCTATGTGAATCAAGTGGTGAAACTGATTTCGATCTATGCTGTATCAGAACCTTACATTGCTTCTCAAAACATCCTATCTTCTACGTAGAGGCTCAATATCTAGGCTGTGTCGTTCGAACTTTGAAATCTGCATTCTCATACCTAGTTGCCTGTGAAAGATTCCCACCTATTCAACGATACAAGGAAGAGAGTAGATATTGCGATATGCCACCTGCTGAGCCTCCATGGTCGACTTGAAATTGTCCGACCTAGTAACGTCTATGGGGCTTAGGGCGAAGTCGTTGCATCCAATCCAGTCGTGTTGCCTCTCGCTCAGAAACTGCTCGTTTCTTGCGCGTGTCCTTGTTGTTGCCATTTCTTGGGAACCTGCCAGACGACCGTGGAAGTAGCGAGACAGGTGGAACATGATATCGACAATGAACGCTCGTTCGCATTGCCTTTGCTCGCGAAGATTTCAAGCTCGGCGAGTCCGTGCAGACGTTGCCACCGGCATAGGTACCATGGCGAGTGGTCATCTTTGTGAATGGAGGCTTGGAGTCACACTGTAGTTGCACCATGTCGCGATAGGTCGCTAGTCTTGGACAGAGAGACAGGCGAGTTGTTGGGGCCATTTCTATCAGGATGATCGCGTGCCGAACGGGACATTCAGGTGGCTTGACTTGACCCTTTTATATGTTTTCTAGACGAAATGAAATTCCCGTGGAATATGCGATCAAACCTAACTCTCTACTCAATGCATCATTTTTTTGACCCTGTATCAAGCCATTCCGGCTTTCACAGCCCATATCTAAGGGCAGAAATGCGCAGCATCGTGAGGCCTACCAAACAGAGTCCTGTGTTTTGCGAACAAGATGTTATAATTGAAGGTATTTCACGAATAAATTCAGGGTCGCAGTATTTGTGCGCGACTCACGCAACCAGCACTATGAGGGCTCGGGGAGTGAAAGCTTTACGGGACTTTCAACTGATTCTCAACGCTGAAATCATCACAAGATGTATTTCATCCAATGAAAATCCACACTCCGAAAGTGGGCCACCCCTACCCATAGGCACCACTTTCTACCTGAGCAAAGAACGAATCATCGATCCTACATTAACTTGGTATCTAGTGCAAGTTTATTTCTTTTTCATTATTTTATATAATCCCACGGAAATTTTCCCGGAATTCTTTGAATGACCAAAGTACACTACAAGGTCTAAAAGCAGCAATCAAAAGCGCTTCCAACTGAGAAAACAATGTCGAGAAGCCTTAGCGGCTCATATATGTATTTACCAACCCCTTCTGCTGCCCACACAAGCTGATATGCCTAGTTAACCGACTTCACCTCGTCGTCCCTCCCGAACGAGTCCGTCTTCAACCGCGGCCCGAAGATGGATACGCTTGGTCTGTCACGAACACGAATGCTGCTTTGCTCAAATCAAGCCTAAGTAGTGCCACGATAAACCTTTACCAGAAAATATTGAAGGAGCTTGGTTCCTCACTCGAAGCTGTCAATCCGCATTCCAATACATGCGGCTTTCCAAAGGAGGTGAGCCCGTTGCTAGATGTCTCCATTTGTATAGCCCTTCTGACGGAGCATAAAGACCCAGGGTTTCCGTGAAGGAATAATGGATGGTTCTTTCACGGCAGAGATATGCGAGCTTAAGTCTGCTAACGGCCGCATCGAAATGGAATTGGAACGCACTCGTTCTCGGCTAGATGATTGTCTTCGCGAAAGTAATACGCTCCGGGCTGAAGCCAACCACCTCCGCCACGATAGACAGATTCTTGAGTCGGAAAACGAGATGCTGCGTGATAAGCTGGTAGAGACAGGAAGGGGCATCGCTGGAGCAATGCAGACACTGGGTTCGCTGCAATTAGAGGGAACGGACATCGCACTTGATGACAACGACAGCCAATCATCAGCCTTTGGCAGCCATGCAGCATCAGGCGAGATCTAAAATTGACAGAAAAGTACAAGGCTGAAGCAGCCGGAGAAAGCTGAGAGCCCACTTCTAGTCCTCATGTTGCGGATCGCAAAGGGTGTATATGGCCAGTGATAAGCGCCAATAGTTGGTACCCAGATTTCCAGATTCAGGCTGGCGCACAACTTCTAGCAATGCATATGTATGAAAAGGTTCTGAGCGAGAGATACTAGCAAAGTGGATACAAAGAGCTTGAGCAGGGTGGTTGAGAAACATAGTGTATCAAAATAGTAGAGCTAAAGTCGAAATTGGCTTCCATGTTTTACCCAGAGTAACTCTCTCGAACCCTAATGCCAAGGATGTGATGAAACAGCCTAGTCCAAACCTAGCTAGTTTGTAGATCATGCTCTCGCAATGGAATGGAAATGTAATTTACGTGACAAGTCGATACGCCCCGCCGGGGCGCACTTGATCCCCGGAGCCATGGCCAGTTGATGTGGCCTTACCGCGTACCAGCTTCTCAAGGTCACGTGTAATCCTTCTTAAATATGGTTCACCCCGGCCTCAGCTGTCTGCAAAGAAACGAAACCTTTTTCCTGCCTGTTAATATCACACAACTTTCCCATAGCTCGTTGAGCCAAAAATATCAGAAATCGAGAGGAATCTGTTTTGACCGCTAAAATACGAAAACTTTGGAAATGCCGCCATCAGGAGACACGCACATCCACGATCCTCTTCCATATCTCTCTCAGCCCGGTCAAATTTTCAAGATTTACAATTTCCGTGATACATGTATACCGGACCTTCTCGGTGAAAGATCTACTCAGATCTTCTCCGAGACCTGCCTTGAACGAGAGCAGGCTCAAAATCGTTTGATGAAAATAGCGCTGGATAAGAATCTTCAAAAAGATATTTGGGTTGCCCTGGACGAAGGCTCCGAGATTTTCATGGTGGCCGAGAAGAACCGCTATTATCAAATTAAGTTCACAGAGAAACAGCTTCCACGCGATATACAGTGGACGTACAGTGATGATCTCAAAGTGATTCTCATTGATAGCCTGGACGAGAGTGACCGAAAGCAAGGTGGATGGTTGAATCCACCCCCCGTCAGAGGCGGACAACCAATGATCTTAATTCCATGTCTTGGGGAGAAATTTCGACGATGCGATATTCTTGAATCATAATCCATCAGTACAGCGCGCTCGGAATTGGGTTCAGCATCATTCAAGTGGAATACTTATGCGTGTGGTTTCGAGGCTTTTACTACGTCGATTCGGTCCCACGAACTTAAGATGTTTTGTTTAAACATACTATTTTGATACTGCTTTGCACGAATGAACAATGTTTATAATCGAAAAATTTGATAAATTGGTAATCTAATAGTCGATCCATCAGCTAGTTTATATCAAAACTTCACTTTCTTCGGCTTTTAACGTCCTTTGCCAAGCCTCTTCAGACTCACAAAGAAATACTTTTGCCGTCCTGGGAACACGTCCTAAAGTTCGTATGAGGCCTACGGCTATCCTGAGGCCCCTGAACACGATCATAGTATTGAGAGCTTTTTCTTGGGGGCATGAGCAGTCTGGGATTATTGGAACACATGATTACGAAGATCGTGCGGTATTAGTATTGTCAAATATTTTACAGTATCACACAGATATGCAGGGATGGTCTATAAGCTAGCTGAATCCGGAATAGGCAGTTTCACCATCGCCTTGGCGGTAGGGTTTGAAATAGTTTCTCTGTGTAAAACATGGAAGCCAATTTCGAATTTAGCTGTACTAAGAATTCCTGCAAATAATATTTCTGGAGGGTGGATTTGCTGCGTTTCAACTTCAAAGTGACTCTTTCTTCTGCACTAGATGGGCTGGATCCCCTACATGGACACACGTACTAAAAGCGAAGCATAACAGTCTAAAGATGGCGCGACCCACGTAAACTAGGAATTATGGTTATGATAGCATTTAAAATACACAACCGTATTAGGAATCGGCCTATACTGGCTGAAAACCTGAGTTATTTCGTCCTGAATCCAAGTCTTATTCCAAAAACTCACTGGAATGTATCAATCGTAGTGATTACTCTAGGCGTAAAAAATCGACTTCGCAGCCTATCGTCCGAACCCTCATTAAACCATATAAACTGGCCTAGTGATCACACAATTTGGACGACACATTGCTTAGTCGTTGTCTGGGTTCCATTGTACTCTTGGTTCTTGTTGAGCCTGTCGCTTGAACTGAATTTATTCACTAAAGTACAACGTAATTCATGCGTGATATTACTTGTAATAATATGAGGCTGGCCTGTTCATGCTGTCAAAATGTAGTGTGCATCCACATGCATCTTTGTGCGGGCTACTTGCTCGCATCCCCGACGGTACAATCGAAGGGCAGATGTTTAGTGCGTCGCGCTAACGCTCCACGGACTACGGCATTTAAAGTAGTCCTCAATCTTTTGAGTTCGTGAATCCCGTCCCGACGCACCTGCTCTGTAGGAGCCCTGCTCTGTTTCAGATCTTACGCTTAGGCCTCTCCCTATTCCTATATAATGCCAGATTCTCGGCAGGACATTGCTGATACTTTTCTCATCCCTTCTGTGCCTCGTTGATTCACTGTTGAGTGAGGGAAACAGAAGTTCGACCATGGCCAAGAATCCCAAGCCTCCTCAGGATGACGCAGACCTCAGGTCTGACGGAGTACAGCGGCGTGCTGCACCATCATTTTATTCCGTTTGTTCTACTGGTTCTGAGACCAAGGATAGACGAAAGTCACGCAAACCAGACACGAAATCACACAGAGATTCGGTATGCCAATGCTCACCTTTTTGGATCGTACTACGCTATGGCCAGAACAGCCCCGGTGGCATCCCTTTTATTTCAATGTACTCTTTACTGACCATGCTAGAAATCCTCCATTACGAAGAAGCCCAAAAAGAAAAACGACAAAGCGACGCATAGAAAGTGTCTCCGGGTGATGAGCAGTATTGAGGAGGAGTTCCAAGAGGTGCTTGAGCAGAGAGATGGAGAGAACCACGACCTTTCTCAGTTGCTGGACCAGATCAATGCCGAGAAAGCGCAAAAGTCTTCGGAATTGCAAATCGCTGTCACGGCAAGGGATACTGCATTAGCCGAGCAGCAGAAGCTCCAGCGTGAGATTTGCCAATTGCAGCAGCAGGTGGAATCCACGAACAGCGCTCTGCAAGATCAGGTCCCGTGGAATGATATACAGCTGGTGTTGGATCAGGCACACGCAGAGCTGGTATCTGCGACCACTCGATTCTGGAGCACGATCGACGCCTTCCAGAACAGACGACTGGCATCCTATTTGCCAGGCTCCGGAATGATCCAGGCAGAATGGCCCGATCAGGGCGGCGCGGGTCCCCTTGGCCACGATATGCTCCCCAGCATCTCCCAATCGAACAATGACAATGTCTCGCTTGGTACTCAACATGAACTACCTACCACCAACTAAGATGAGCCCTTCGTCTCACAATTGGGGTGCGTTGATCTGGCTAGATCCTAATGATGGAGTGAGCTAGCTTCTATGTATGGAAAAGACCGAAACTCTTACTAGTCATGTCTTTCCTTCAGACGACTGGCTTTTTAATGTAGCCGACGTGCAGATAGTTCATGAAGAAGCATTTCGCCACATTCTTATTATACATGTAGCGTGCCAAACTGTATATTGTCAATTCTGTTAATTGCCCTGAAGGGGAGGGCTATGTGCTTTTGTCTAATAGATGCGAGAACGGGCGGCTCGAGGCAGTATTCGGTGCAGGTTAGCGGCAGAGTCCACCACAACCTCCACGGTCAATTTATTATGCCATAAATAAATGTAAGGGTAGATTGGACTCATACTTATGGCGAGACAGCCCTAGAGTATTCGACATCACACCACTCCAGGCCGAGACGCCCGGATACGCTCTGGATGAGAGAAAAGGCCCTGCCACGCTGGCCTGTGGATTTCTTACACACGTGGGCTCCCATGCCGTAAAGGAAACGCACTTTCAATGCTCCGATCCGAATATTGCTAATACCTGTCCTATGGGTTTCGTGGAGAAGCCCGAGCTTCTCTTGCGCAGTATAGTCATTATTTCTTCTCGGCGTTCAGCCAAAGCTTGCCGTAGAATTCCTGTCCAATTCAATCACAAATAGCAGTTTATCGTTGAGTGATATATCGCAAATCGATAAATGTGGCACTACTGTGCGAGGATCAACCGCCAAGGATCGTACTTCAATAGCCACGACCAATTTTTGATCATTTGTTACATGTGTGCGATTCTTGAGCACTACTGAAGTTTTAGCTTTCTTGAAAATTTCCTCACTTATACAGACCGAGTACGAGCTTAGTGGGCCAGGCAATACAAATTAGCCGCAATGATGGAAATAATCAAATCTTTAATCTACTCGGTAAAATGTAGTGGCTCGCGCGACAATAGCCCGACGGTTCAAAAAAGCTATCTCGGCACAGTCCATATACCAGTCAATCTTTTCCGTCTGCACAGCTTAGGGAAGCACTGGTAAAATACGAACACCCCATGCAACGACAAACGGTCCATCGCTCGCCATGGAATCAGCTTGGTATTGAGTCAATCGAGACTTGTCCAGTGACCGTCCAATCCAGCATCGATGATGAGCGTGTCCATATTCTGTCAGTAGAGCTGGTGGTCATACTGCAAAACCAATACAGACTGATATATTACTCTGATTTACATGATTCGATACCCAAGTAAATCAAGCTTGAGTTGCATCACTGCTGCCGACGCAGGGATCGCCCGATCTTCTGGCCCTCTGTAGCTTTGTTTGAACCCTGCCTGGTCCCCTTCTGGATCTCACTTTCGACGATTGCCAATCGACCAAAAATGTCGGCCAGATCGTTCCGAATGGTTTCATTCCAGGTGGCCTGGTCATGCGACGAGCCCTCAATAGACCTGCTGAGACAGTTAGCGCTTTAAATTCTCACCCGGGATGGACAACAACTGACCTCATTCGAGTATCTAGTCTGGGTGTTGTTAGCAGGCCAATCGTAAATTATGACCTTGACGGGATTGTACTTACTCTGTCAGGCATTCCAGAGCAACCGAATTGCTATCGCCAGAAAGCTTAGTCTGCCTGCGTGGTTCCAAGTCCGTTTGGTGTTCAAACACAGACTTCCGCTGTCGTACAACTTCTTGCTCACTCTCCTCGGCCGAGGTGCTATTGTCCTGGTCGACAGAGTCATGTTCCTCCTGAAAGGATGAATCGTCCTCTGTGGTATCGCCTGTAGCGGATCTGGGTTGACTACCAGTATCCTCAGACTCAGAAGACGACAAGGACAATGCACGTTGCAATCGGCTTCGAAAGTTCTGTCGTCGAGGAGTGTGCGAGACTTTTCGAATTCCGCCCATACTTGCGTCTGAGGTACGCAGGGGTGACGAGTGGTCTTAGTTCTGATTTCCTGTGATAGGAGGAGGCGCTCCGGCTTTATAGCATGTTGTATTCCGGGGCCAGATTTGAGTGTTTACTTGCTCGTAATTGAGGAGGGGATTGCAAGCGCACGCATTTTTCAATCCTACCGTAGATATCTATTTCAAATACTGCACATTTTGAATAATGTCTCACTAAGAGGCGGGTCAGACAATATGGTACGATAGGCTCTGTTTCTTGTGTAGTCAGAGCCGTTTCTCCACATGGAATTTGCGTGTCGCTCGAACCTACCTTATAATAAAATGCCTACATTCTAGAGTGAGAGTTGCTTTCGCTCGAGGTCAACATGCCATTGGGAGCTTTCGCTCGGGAATATATGATCCGCTCCTTCTACATGTAAGAGCCGTCGCATCTTTGTGAATAACATCCCGTCAGTAACTACGATTCATAGTCCAACCAATCTCTCGAAGAAGTCCACTCCGGCGATTAAAGCGACGGGCATTACTTTTTGTGGATGTATTCCTGAGTCATGCGATACAGCATGCTCTGCTGCTGATATAGTTTAGGTGCGATCGGAGTCCAACTAGCCATCTAGAACCAGAACTGGTAAAGACACTCTCCACTATCGCCGCTCAGGACCAGGTGGTATTCGCACAGGGGTGCTCTAATCCACATCCGGCCCTAGCAGGCATCCGCTGGAATTCCACCTCAAGCAAATATGGCATAAGGGCTTATTAGGGGTAGGAAATAAAGTATAGGCTGTACGGGATATTCAGAGGTCCTACAACCCGAGGGCTCTTGTGGTGCTGTTATAGACATCAAACCCACCTTCACGGGGAATTGCTCGAACGGTGATATGCCAGATATCGTCCGGACGCGATGGGTTTGCGGAAACATCATCAATGCTCAAATGACAGTAAACTCAGGAGGTAGAGAAGTCGGTGGTTTGCTGGCAAAACCTGCTTGCGCCGCCAATTGCGATATGCTAGACAACGGTCCCACTGGACAAAGGATACACGATAAATGACTCACCTGGAGCTGCAGTGACTTTCAACGTACATGCTTTGGACATAGTGCTTGGGCTTGGAGAGAAAAAAAGAAGGCTTAGGAGCCAAATTGATCAACTTTCTGTCCAACATGGAGCATACAAACACTCCTAATAGCATGCAGGTCCGTGTATGTCCGAATGGTTCGTATAAGTCGACAAGCTGAGCAACACAGAGAGGGGAGAGGGATCAGGTGGGACCGTATCAGACGGTGCTTCTTGGGTCATGGGCCCTATCTTTGGTTCGGCTGTCCTCGGTCTTGTCCACTTGATTTGAAGCTGAGACGGTTATTGTTAGTTTATTCGGCTAGAAATGACGGGACTTTCGCCTCACCTTCTCCTTGCACGCAAACTTAAACTAGCAACCTGGCCGTCTGCGAAAGTACGGCTCAAGCAAGACGAAACATCGGCTCCTCAGGCTCGAGAGACCCAGACGCCATCCAAGGACAACGATGGTCACCCACTGGACGCCGGGGATCCGAGCCGCAAGCAGGCTATCCTATGAGGGTGTTCGAATGCCGAGAGACAGACACTGCTATACGCTCCATTGGGTCTTGCATCAGGTAGGCATACCAACGCATGATCTGATGAACTAAATCCACTGGGAGAAAGTCGAGGTAGCGATCATCGATGCCACCAGTAGTCATGTGGAAGAAACAGAGTATACGATGGTCTTGGTGCAGGGGAGGTCTAGCAGACAAGACATTTGCTCGCTTCGCATTCATGTGTGAGAATCTGAGGGTGTCTCCTGTTGTGAGATCCGAGTCAGCAAGTGTTGATCCAGTTGGACGAGGTGTCGTGCTTTACGTTGTTCATGAAGAAACCCCCAAGTGTACGCTTGAAGCAGATGATAAACAAGAATCGTGATCATACCAGCTTACCAACTAGATTACTGCCAATTCTCTTCTGCAATGCAGTCATCAATATGCCATGTTGTATCCAGTTCGTCGCACTCTCCGGCTGTCGCTTCGAGAAACCGCGCTGGATGCACCGGGCAAGCTTACAAGACGGCAAAGGCGCGTGACGAGCCCGCTTTTGACAAGGAATTGTACAGTCGTATAGGGAGACTGCTTCGTGTAGACGCCGAGAGGTTGAGGCTCTGTTGTTGAGGATGTGAAGGCGGTGAGGAGGAGGGCGGAAGACGCAATGGAGCGCGTCGTAGTGGCCCTTGGTCTTATCTGACTCAGCGGGAATAGGTTACTCGCCTCAAAGAGTCTTCGCTGTTGGCGATGGGCTGCTCCTCCAACGGCATGAAATGTCAGTGGTGTTTGTGTTTTGGGGCACAGACTTGGCACCAATCATCGGACCCGGCGCAACAGGAGGCGCGATATTCCACTCACCTCATCGTGGACAACGAACGTCTGGAGCTTACACGTCCTGTTGTTGGCCCGCGGCCTTGGTTTGAAATGGTCCACATAGGTAACGCTGCATGATTTGAAGTGGCAAGACCAGAAATGGTATATAAGCCATGGTTTTGCGTGGAGCACTGACGAGGTGCTGGTTCGGACTCACTTTGGTGCGCTGTCAACGGTTTCCTGTCCATCATTAGCTTGTTGGTCGGCGAGACAATGCATGACTTACATGTTTCAAAAAAGACACAGGAAAGGGCTCCCCGGCTGGAGTATGTTGGACGGAATGCATGCATCTTTGTTTCGCATCGTCTTTGGAGTCAGCTGAATTTGGACAGTATCGTGCTGAGACTTACATACCTGTATGGAAAGCGCTCTTTTGCATCAGGGATATTCAGGGACGGGACAGTGAGTCCGCTGCTATGGTGGACAGATGTTCGCATAGATACTTTGGCCATCTAACCCAAATCTGCTTCTTTGATCGGCTGGCATGGGTGACATAGCGGACCTGGTGTGAATCACTTTCTCACAAGTACTTTCTAGCTTGTCGGCCCACGATGTATTCATAGATGTCAGTACAGTGGAAATTCCAGTAGGGTAAAAGGGAAGACTTATCAGGTGCCTCAAACCGAAGACCTGCTCGACTTGCGCGGCAAGTGACAGTGTTGTGGAACAAATTGCTGGGGGAGAGGGCGTATTTATAGGCTCTCGGCACCTGTCGCGTATCTGCTCTGCTAGGGAGCAAACGTTGGACACGATGCCTATCCTAAGTGAGGTCTGTTGCAACCTATGCCTTCGTTCTACCGCAACTATTTGCAGCGAAATTCTGGTGTCATCTTAGATGCCCAGCGGAAAAAAAAGCTAGAGTTGTGTTGTGAATGAGTCAAAGTGAGTCGGTTAAGAAACGTTGGCTCACAGTTGAATCTATGGTCCTAATACTGAGGCAATGGAAGCTGTTCATTCTTTGATTTTACCGAGAGCGCTCACATTTTCATCTAAGGAAGATGGAAATTTTCTGGCCTCGCTCGAGTGTTGATTGTCTGGATTGTGTGTGGTTCTGTCCGTCTAGGCTGCGGAAAGCGTCAGGCCGCGGTCGCGCGGGCGCGGTACTCAACCCGTCAACCCGTTGAAGCTTGGCCGTCCTTGTTGACGGGAGTCAACTTTTGAACTTATGACCGGTGTTGAAATACGTTGTTCTTTGCGTTTCTTTTCAATCCTCTAATTTTGTTCTTACTTCTGGGATTTCTGAGCTCCCCAACGAATGTGGAAAAAGCGTTGTGATTGAATATATATCCTGACCGTTCATCACCAGTGAGACACTAATATGAGGCACATTCATCAACCATCAACACCACGAGACTGATCACCAGCACCATCATTAAACGGACTGCAAACAGAGTGCTGAGATTGAAAAGCTGACTACGCTGATTGACTTTCATGGTGAAAATGAGACTGAGTACCTAGCCACCGATGTCTTCTAGTCTATAAAAGCCTCCAAGAATTAAT